AGGCTCGCCACTCGACGGCGATCCGCAGCTCGGAGGGGTCTGCTGCTGTGTTCCACAAAAAGGCAGAAGTCCGTTTCTTGGCTCTCCGTACCAGCAGCGGTGGCCTTCCGAGGTCTCGCTGCTGCGGGAAGCGTAGCGGCACTTCAGGCGAGTTTAGGAAGCAAGCAAGCTTCGAGTAGGCCAGAGTAGCAACTGAGCTAGCAGTGTGGCAGCGGAGAATACTTCATCTGTAACTCTCAAGTCAAGCCTTCTGTAAGACTTGCTGGTATGGCCAGTGTTTTAGGTACCTGAAGATTTCCGCAGGTGCAGTATTTCAGAGACGTCTGGCATATAACCACCTGTTTCAGGAAGGAAAAAATGGAGCCACTTGATTTTTGTCTTGTAGGATTGAAGCAGCTCGATGCCCAGATGTGGTTGTGGCACAAATAGACCCAAAAAAATTGAGAAAGAAGCAGACAGTAAACGTTTCAGTAAGTTTGAGAGCTTTTACACCTTTTGTTTTGAAAAAACCTTTTGTTTGAGGGGTAAGATGTTAATATCATAATGTTTGTACTAATTTTGGGGAGTGGTTGGCATAACTGAACAATAGCACTACTGGATTTTAAAAGCATCTACAGAATTAAATGTTTAGGTTTGAAGAAACAGCTGTTCAGCTGCTAACAGCAGTCTTTATAACTGATTTACATTGATAATATCCCTATTATTTGATACACAGCAGACTGTTTTACTGTGTGAGGAAATCAAACGTTGCGTTAAATTTTACAAATATTTACTCATAAAACATGCATAAACTTTAGAAGAAGGATATGTCCATACCTATATTTCGGTTTAAATATGTATCTAGGATAAGGGTAGTAAGTGCAGCTAAGCTTTACTAAAGTTAGATGAAATTCTAGCATCACTTCTTTCCTTTGTGGTGGAATATTTTATCAGAATTTTTCCTTACTGTCCAAGCAGATTTTTCTGTTGTCACATTACCCTGCCAACTTGGTTTTTAATCTACTTTCAAATAGTTCAAGAGGCCGAGTTTGCTTTTGTCTAGTGAAAACTGTATGATCTCAAATTTCACTACTAGATTGCTCAAGAAGTTTCTAGTACTGACATATGACTATGTAGCTTCTGTGACCATTCTCTTAACTCGTCTCATCTCTTTGTAGTGGCATTCTTAAAACATTTGTATAAAGATTCTCTTTTTTTTAATAACAATTTCATGCTAATATTTAAAGAGGTTATATCTACTTAACTGTCAGAGCTAATATTTTTGTGGTCTTCTGTCTTCCTCAACTTACTATCTTGGAAAGTAGAATGCCTAAGATCCATAGCATCTGTCCAAGATAGGGAAACAACACCCTGCTTTTTATCAAGAGGCGAGTTAAGACAGAACAATTGCTAAAAGGATTACCTTAAATAATTATTTGACAATGTATTTTGAATATTTTGTTTTCCTTCTTATTTGCATATGAGAAGAGTCAAACAGAAGAAATTTTGTCTAAACCAATTGTTAAGTCAGTCTTGGATGTGGTCATGAAATTACCTTTCTTAAATAAGGATTTAAAGGATATTGTTTACCTGATAGTAAACATATACCAATTCTCTTGTTCTTAAGGATTCTTCCTATAAAGCTTTCTTTACATTATAATTATTGCCAGTGTTTTCTCAGATTTCTGGATGTCAGCCTGCTCCTGAAGGATACTCTCCAACACTCAAGTGGCAGCAGCAGCAAGTGGCCAATTTCTCAGCCGTTCGTCAGGTACAAAATGGTGTGTGTGAGGGGACTTGCACTGTCTAGATAGAGCACATCTGTGCTTTACAGGGGACAGCCTTATATCTAGTATAGAAATGTTATGACTTTATGGTACAACAGATGTTTGTAGTCAAATGTTTTAAGTTCCTGGAAAAAAAATTGAGTATATACTGTGTGGCTTTTAAACCTCTGATAAATTGAGAGGGTAATGTTTAAAAAAAAAAATTCTCCTTCAACTTAAGCAAAAATATCAGTCAGTCTTTAGATTAAATGATATAGAGTAGCTGAGGGAGGACAAAAATCCCTATGATGTTATGCAGTTATATTAAAATACAGTGCTAGCAGGAAGGTTATGCAGAA